ACATTGCAATTTATCTCATGATTTCCTAAAATTTTCTCCTAGATAGAATATGCATTTTAGGTTTTTTGTTAGATTTGGGTTCAAAATTAAAATTTTTGAATGACTTAGAAAAATTAATACAATAGATATTTTTTAAAGAAAGTTTTTATTGTACGAGATTTAAATGGACATGCTGGTAGGGGATAGATGATTTTAAAAACATTCATATTGGCCATAGGTTTGGAACGACAAATGAAAGTGGTAAGAACATATTAGATTTCTTTTAGCTTATGATTTTTAATAGCTAATTCTTATTTAAGAAAAGAGATGATCATTTTATCACTTATAAAAATGGATATAATAAAACATAGATTGATTATTATTTTATAAGAAAATTAGATCATTTAGATTGTAAAAATTATAAAGTTATTCTGAGTGAAAATTTATATACCCAATATCGATTATTAGTTGTGGACTTTAAGATAAATGGACAGAAAATAAAAAATAAAGTAAAATGATATTTTAGGATTAAATTGAGACATTTAAAGAATGTTAGCAAAAGTATTTTTAAGAGTAAGATTTTATATCTTAAGATTTTTTCTCTGCAAGCGGATGCTAATGTTATGTGAGAAAAATCGTCTAATGATATTAAGAATATTACAAAAGATGTGCTTTCGAAGGGAAAAACTCCTAATAGTAAAAATAGTTGGTGGTGAAATTCAAATGTGTAAGAAAAGATAAAAAATAAGAAGATATATTATAAAAATTAGTTTAGTTGTAAAAATTTTGATGATTGAGAAAACTATAAAGAGGCTCGTAAGAAATTTAAGAAAAGCTATTTGCAATGCAAAGAGCTTAGATTTTAATGATTTATATAATAAATTAGATAATAAGGATGGGCGGCTTTGGGTGATCAAGTCATTAATAAGAGTACACCTTTTATATATCTTGGATTTATTGTCTGAAAATAATTTCAGATCTAGTGAGTAATTAGAGAGTAATTTCCTTAAAATTTGAATTTGAAACGAGTGAGAATTAGGAAAGAAAGTGGGGATGAGATTGAATTAATTAGATCCTTAATTTATGGGAGCAAATTAAATAGAGAGAGTGGGAAGGGGTCTGCCAAGGAGAGAGGAGAGAGAGAGGTGTAGGCATTAAGGAGGTGGGCCCAAGCAATTAAGGGGATTGATTACTTAAATCTAAAATTAATTTCAGATTTAAGTTAATTGGGGGTTTTACCAAATTAAAGGAGGAGAATTTAAGATGAGTTTTGAAATTCAAATATTTTGAATTTGAATTTAATTCTCATCCTAAATTAGTGGGGCTAAATTAAGATAACATTTATGGTGGATTTGAATTCAAAAGTTTGGAGGGATTATGTGGTCGACGGCTAATGTGGGGGAGAAGGATG